ACATTTTTGTTTTTAAAGGGGGGGGGGGGGAGATTTCGTGAGTTCACACCAGCAAAAATTTGAAGAAACGTTACCTTCAAGTAGGGCAGAAATGACACTTTTATGTAGTAAAATTCATTATCATTACATCACCATTATATACTGTAGTCAAAATGTAGCGGCAACAAATTAATCATGATCATTTATCTCAGTTTTCAGCAACCCATAGAAATCTAATTAATAATGCGTGATGTACCACAGAAAATAAAACTTAAAAACATTGTCTTTGATGTATTTAATTTACTTTACCTACTTCAAAGCCATGAGTCGACACCCACCTCACCCCCAACATGGTTGGGCTAAAGCGCGAAAAATTGAGGAAATAATAAAAAATGGGTCCATTATGCAGTTTTATGCATATAATGAGTCCATTTTTTAAAAATGGGTCCAGGTTTCTCATATTCAGCTTAAAATGGGTAAAATTTAAAATAAATGGGTCCATATTTTTAATACTTTTGCATAGAATGGGTAAACTTTTAAGAAAATGGGTCCACATTATTTGTATTTACGCGTAAAGTGGGTCCACCGTAATATTGTCCTGCACTGTTTGAAAATCCTGGCTACGGCAATGCTCAAGGTCTTCGGAAATGACACTCATAATAGTAAAAATTCATCATCACATCACCATTTACAGTTAATCAAATTAAGCGCTAACTAATTCTTCACGATATTTCATCAGCGATTTTCGGCAGTCATAGTGATCTAAATAATCTGTGTGATGTACTTTGGAAAATGAAACTTAAAAACATTGTCTTTGATGAATAAAAAGTGTAGCCGCGTTAGTCTGTTATAGAACAATATAAAGTAACGACAGCAGCACTTTTGAGACTAAAAATATAGAATTTATTCTCTTGCTTTCGTCCACACAGTGGAATTCATCAGTCTGTGTGGACGAAAGCTGGAAAATAAAATCTATATTGTTAGTCCCAAAAGTGCTGCTGTCATTTACTTTATATTGTCTTTGATGTATTTACGTTACTTTACCTACTTTAAAGACGTGAGTCCACACCCATCTCAACCCCACCATGGTTGGGACCGAGGCACGAACATTTGGGAAAATAGTACCTCTAGATGGCCAGAAATGACACTCTTATATAGTAAATTTCATCATCATCACATTAACATTGTCAAAATGAAGAACCAACAAATTTCTCATGTGATCTTTCATCAGCAATTTTCGGGAATGATAGCGATCTAATCTCTGTAATGTACTATGGTGTACGGTAAAAATGGCCCAGGTAAAAATGGCCCTGGTAGAAATGGCCCTAGTAAATATGTCCTCAAATGACAGGTAGGTAAAAATGGCAACAATAATAAAATTCTGTATTAAACTGATTTTTTTTTTTTTATCATTATATGCATTTTTTAAAAAATTGAAATAATTTAGTTTTTAAAAAGAATCTAACATCAAATAAATAGCCATTTATATTTTACATTTTGCAGGAATTACATATTCAAAGATAAAAAAAAAATAAGCCATGAATAACACTTTTTATTTTCTTTTTCCATTTAAATGTTAAAAAATAGCAACAATTTAATCACTATTGTGTCTGTCTCTTATACACATCTAGATGTGTATAAGAGACAGATATACTGTAGTCAAAATGTAGCGGCAACAAATTAATCATGATCATTTATCTCAGTTTTCAATATTGCTAAACCCCGCAAAAATGGGTTGATATGAACATAAAATTATTATTTTTTTTTTTTTAAAAGAGAATATTAATAATAAAAAATACTTAGCCCTAACAGCCGCCCATACAAAAATATCTATTAATTAATCAATCAGCTAAAAACTAAGTTATTTTAGTTTTCAAATATGGATATGGTTTCTGTTGATTTATTAATTCAATTTTTTTTACAGCATTTAAAAATTTATTTTTTTATTGAATTTTATAATTGGGGGCCATTTTTTATTTATTGATTCAATACTTGCTATTTTGGGGTCATTATTACCAGGCCATTTTTTCCTATATCCATGTACTATATAAAATAAAACTTAATTGTCTTTGATGTATTTACTCTACTTCACATACTTCATGTGCCAAAAACCAATCTTATCTTTACACGCTTTTTCTCATACTTCTCAAATTATAATAAAGGCATGCGCACTCGAGTCGTGTACGCCTATTATAAGTAAATTTGATGTATGTGGGCAGAGATACCAATATCCTTGCTATAAGATAAGATGTATTCTGGCTGTACATTGCTCTTTCGTTAAAACCTGGGTTATTTATGCATATCTTTTCAACAATTTTCAGGCATCTCCTTGAAATTACATTGTAATCGAAAAGTGAGGGGGAACCACTCCCTTAAAAATGTGTCTGTGGTGTCCCCTAGCTACCCCCCTCCCAAATGATCTTCGCCATTAATTGTTTAGAAAGACAATCTAATTCTCTGTCAGATGACATTAAGCAAAATACATTAATGTATAGTTCGTAAGCAAAGCATGGAAGTATGTTTTCATCCTTATAGGGACGTAGGCTGCTTTTGATGGGTGAAAAAAATAATTTGCTGCTATGATATAGGGCGACCATTTTGGACAGGATCTTAGATTTGGAGGTCATCACAGTAATTTTCCAAGAGCACACAAACAAATTATATTTTGTAATATAAATAAGCAAGCAAAAAAAAAAAGTGTACTAAGTGTTACAGATGTGGACCTCTTTAACCATAATACTAAAATATAATTAATCTAACAGTGGACGTTCCATTTAGGGGTACTCAAGGAAAGGTGCGGCATTGGTCTACTTGGATCGTTTTAAAGAAGCAAAAGAAGCTTACGAGGAAGGATTGAAGTTAGATCCACAAAATAAAGGAATGAGTGAGGAATTGGAGAAGTGCATTCAACGAATGAAAGGTAAACTTTTGTACAATTGTGCAATTGCACAATAAGACAATCCATCAATCAATTGATCGATCAACTGATTGTTGATATGCTGTTTGAACTATAGATCCTGCTTTAAGTCAGCCATTGTCAAACCCATTTGCCATGCCTGGAGTAGATGATAAATTAAAATCAGACCCAAGAACCAGCCAGTACATGGACGACCCAGATTACCAAAAACTACTGGGGACACTAAAAAGAGACCCAAAATCGCTTGGAAGGTATGCTATAATAAAATAATCAAATGTACAATTCTGCTTTTTTATTGGAATTTTTTCATTTTCATTTTTCTCTTCATTTTATTTTATTTCAAAAAAACGCAAAAATACATTATAAAATTCTTCTAAAAAGTAAATATATTGAATTCACTGTTTTGTGTTTATCTGTAGTGTTCCTTTTCTTGCTACATGGTCTCTTAATCTCTGTTTCTTCATTTAATTTATTGTATTTGTTTGAAGAAAAATTTAAAAAAAAAACAAAACAAAAAATATAACAAAAATTTATAATATTTCACTGTGGAATAGAGTGCATTTATTCGGTGTAAACAAGGGGTGATGCGCTGGATTGGATTCGGATTGGATTTATTCGGTGTGACCACCAAGGATAGCCCATGAAAGTCTAGAAGACGACTTATTTCCAGTGGGGTCCTTCTGGTGGTGATTAGGCAGTACACCAGAAGACAATCCCCTAATCTTTTCTGAAGAGTGTACTGCTTTCTTTAACATGCACATGGGCCATAAATTCACGAGACCAACGACTTAACGTCTCATCCCAAAGACGGTGCGCTACTGTAACTTGTATTTCAGTCCTCCAGCTGAAACACAAGGAGAGGCAGCGATAAGAATTGAACTGGGACCTAGAGATCTCCATGGTTCACCGCACACACAGTGGCTACCACCATTAGCCAACTGAGCTAAGCTGCTCTCTTTCAACTGAGCTGCTGTATCATGTTATAATCAATATAGCTTTTTGTTGTTTGTACTGGTTTAATACACATTTTTATATATT